GAGTTGGTTAATTTATCTCAAGTACATTGGTTCCATTTCACCAACCTCATAAATTAATATTTATATTGAAACACATGTATTCCTGACTTTATAGTGTTAAAACCACAATGTATACCATCCTGCCCCTTAAATATAGTAAAATCTTACTTTTATTCCAGTCTGCTGCTGCTGGCTATGCCCCTGATCTGCCTGCTTGACTGACATCAGAAGTGTTGATCTAAAGCCAATAACAATGCTTTAACATAGGACAACACTGGATTGGCTGAGACAGTCAAGGAGGCAGATTAGGGGCAAAGCCAGCACAAACCAAACTCAGCCCTAGCCAATCAGCCTCTCCTAATAGAGCTGCATTAAATCAATGTATCTCTGAGGAAATTTCAATGTCTCCATGCAGAGGATGGAGACACTGAATGGCAGCACTGCACCAGGAAGCAACTCTAGTAGCTATCTGAGGAGTGGCCAGTGGAGATATCCCTAGGCTGTAATGTAAACACTGCATTTTCTCTGAAAATACAGTGTTTACTGCAAAACGCCTGAAGGGGATGATTATACTCACCAGAGCAAATACAACAAGCCTTAGTTGTTCTGGTGACTATAGTGTCCCTTTAAATTAAAAGTTGTCTCCTTTTTCCAAAAATTTAACTGTAATACAAAGTAAATTTGGTAGTATGAGAAGTAGAAGAAAAGTTTCTTAAGGGCAGCTACAGTCATTTTCTTCATTATTAGGAATAACATTCAAGATCATTTGTAGTCAGTGGTCCACGAACAACTTGAAAGAGGTATGATAAAATATGGATGGTGTCTAGAATGGCAACTAGTGGAAGAATTGCCATTCTTCTAAATCCTTCAGTAAAATGTCAAAATATTGTGTGCTCTTTTTTAAACGGGCAATTTAAATCCTCTTTAAAAACAGTTTTGATTTTAGATATTTACATACTGATATCTTTTATGTTACAGAATATGTCAACCAAATCATTCCAAAACCAGTGGCATCAACATTAGAAAATCCAGCATATGTCAACTTGGTTCAATCAAACAACACAAAGCCTTCTCTCGAAAATCATTACCAGAATTCCAACAGCAATGGAATTAACAACCCAGAGTACCTGAATTCTGATCATGCTCTAACCACTAAACCAGAGTTGGACTATCCTTCCATCTGGGACCAAAAAGTTAACCATCAAATAAATTTGGACAATCCTGATTACCAACAGGACTTCTTTCCCAAAGAAACAAAGACCAATGGACATTTTAAGATTCCTGCAGCTGAAAATCCTGAGTATTTGGGATTGGCGCCCAAAAGTGACTATATTGAGGCTTCTGCATGACTAAAATGAAATGATAACATTCTGGACTCTCATCTTCTTGAGACTCTGCCAGGTTTTTACAGACCTGTGAGGAGATATGAATAACAATGGAAACCAGTACATTGCCATACAAGACTTGTACACTTCAACCTGGACCCTTGAAGTATATTTTGGATTTATCCTATTGTGGCACTGGCTGGCTATCGACACAAAAAGAAGACCATGGCAATTAGATGTCTACTTCTCCTCTCCCTCTGCATTTTTTTTTATAAATATCTATATATGTATATGTATACATATGTACATGTATATATAATGATTTGTAAAAAAAAACTGCCGTTTTAATTCCTCAATTTCTCTAGGGAGTTTTTTTTATAGTTTATAATAATTACTGCACCTTTTTCTGTTGCATTTGTGTTGGATTTTTTACCCAAGAGACTTGACTATTAAATGCTTAGTTTTGAACATGGAACGAGATATTTTTTCAATGTCATAACCTAATGCTTAACTTGGGATCATGGTGGCAGTGCTAGCTACATTAATTATTGTAAAGAACTTTGTCCAACTCGTCTCTTTTCTTATACTTGTAAGGGAACATGCACTTATTGTCTTAATTTCGTAACTTCTTAAAGAGCTAGAAAGCAGAAGTATATTTTCCATTGACATTTCAATAATGTTCTCCCAAAAATATCCTCAGATTGACTTCTGTGTGCCATTGATTAAATATGTTAAAAAATATACTTTGAATTATTAATATTCTTATAGTGTAATTTTGTATGCTGACTATGCATATTTAGCTATCCCTATCTACCCACATCCTGCAGTGTTGAGCATTGCATACCTTCCAACACTGGAAGGTAAGGAATTGGTACTGGTGGGCAAATCTTTAAGGTGGCAAAGCCAGTGATGCAACTTGGCTTCACATAATTGGTAGGCCATCAGATAATTAGCAGGCCAAACATTGAGGCATGTCAGACTGGTGTTACACACACCAGGCTGAAAGACACCCTTCCAGCCAGCCCCAATCTACAGAACCAAGAGGAGAGGGCTGCTGAAGTGCTCCATGCATGGTCCTACTTCCCAGGAGTGACACATTTGGGAGCCCTGCATTGGGTTTATGTCTACTACTTAGTAATGTTCAGATGCTACAGAAAATTAAATGTTTTTAAACATTAAGCAGGGCTAAATCAGTCCAGCTCTGTCAGTACAGTTCAGTTACTCGGTGCAGTTATGTGCTTATTTTAAAGCACAGGCCTATTAAAAGCACCCTTGGTTCTTTGAAGGGTAGGATTTTGGGTGTCAGAAAACATATTCTAGAAAAGTCAGTCATAAGCTGAAACAAAATGGAAAATATTTGCATTCTTTTGTAAAGGTTTTATTTGTCGTGTTTGTATTTTTAATGGATATGGTAATATAATATATGGAAAAATACACATTTTGCATCACATTGAAATAAAAGCTAAACCCATTTGTGGATTATAAAGTTTGAGTATCTTCCCATCCGGTACACAGTAAACTATACATTGAATGCTGGTAATGGCCCAAACATGCTATGGATCAGTTAGCATTGTTAGATTCAGCAGACACCATATTGTGTATAAATATAAATAAAAGCATGTATTATTTTTTATATTGGTATGTAAGTCTCAGCTTCTTGTTGGTTGCTAGCACATATTTAGGTATGCTGATGGGATTTTTATGACTGTTCGTGCAAGACCTTGCTCACTCAAAATGTTACTAGATAGTAAAGCCTCACAAATTAATCAATCTTATGACCAGTTTAGGAATATTAAATCAATTTACAGGTTATGGGAAATGCAATTAAGCAAAATAATTGACTAACCTAAGTCTAAAACACAAGAAATGGTGTCATTGTTTTAAAGGAACATTCCAAGCACCATAACCACCACAGCATGTTGTAGTATTTATGGTGTCAGGAATGCCCTGGCACACCTCCATATTGTATGCATTTAAACCATTTGAGAATGGTTTGACTTTTTACCTATGACCTTCGGCTTACGCTCAATTATTTCACTAGTACAGCGTAAGAAGGAAGCAATTTGTCTGAGCTTAGCTTATTTGTTGAGAGCAATCAGCTGATATTCTCAGCCAATGAGCTAGTTCTGCACTACAGGGCTTAGCCAGGAGAGCTAACAGCTCTCCATTGGCATTAGTGTAGGTGGTAGCGGGAGATAAGAAGCCAAAACATTATAAAAAAGTTTGACAACTTACAATGGATGAAGCCCTTTTATAACACTAGTATTCTCTATTATCTTAAGTTTGCTGTCATTCTAATGATAACAGAGAATACCTAGCTGTCTGTGTCCAGTCCTCTATCATCTGTGTAAATATAATGTGGATTTGTCTCAACATTTCTTTTCAGAAACATAAATTCAATACCTTTAAACCACATAATCAGTATGATATGTGTCTCTAATCTTGGGTTTCTATATGACTTGTCAGAGGAAAAGGTATGTTTTGTGGTTATGTGGGAAGATTTACTTGTCCCATCCTAAATGGAAGCAGCACAATAAATCAAAGCATTCTGGGTACAGCCAAAAATAGCACAAGAACCATCCTGACTAAAGTCATCTATTTTGTCATTAATTTAGATTTATAGGAAAAGATCTCTGTCTATAAAGTGAACTTCAAACTATGTTTTTCTGAGCGAAATGTGTCAGCTAGAAATTGCAATTTTGTTCTCATCCTTTCCTATTAGAAACGTGAGCAACCTTTGTTGATCTAAGCAGTTGTTTCTCAATTGAAACAGCTGTGATTTGTTTTTTCGAAGTAGTCACATGAGTAGCATCTGGTACTGGGCAAAGAAAAAAAACCTAACCGCTAAAGTCTGTCCTGACACATTGATAAATAAAAATAAAACAAAATTAAAAGCAAACCAAAAAAGCAAAAACAAACCTGTAGGGGAGAATGAAGACAACCATATTAGTAGACCAAAAACTGTATTACAAAACTATATAAAGTAGTTTTCAGTACTGATCTTGTCTTAGTCATGCTAACTATATGTGGTTGGCTTAATTTGTTCATTGTGATGTATATATTGAATAACAACCGATAGAATCAACTGATTGCTATCAACGACACAAAATATTTCCAATAATTAATGTCCACATGCTAGTTCCTTTAAAGGAAAATGTATTCATTTGGGTGACTTGTGTGCCCACTTTTATTTGTTTCAGTATGTGATGCTTAAAGGGTCTTTAAGAAACCGAAATGGTTTATTTCTTTAAGCATTGTTCCACGGCATTTAAAGATTACATGAAGTGTAATATTATGGTCTCTTAACTGAAAAGGGATTTTTGTAAAACAACTTTAGCTAAACTTTAGGTCAAAATAACCATGTTGGGAAAATTCTCCAATTCAGTAAATATATACACACATATATATAGTATATATATATATACACACACACACACACATATATATATATATATATATATATATATATATATATATATATATATATATATATATATATATATATATATATATATATATATATATATCCTCCAAGAAGAAAGCTAGCACTCAAGGACTTCAACGTGAAAAATATAGGCATTTAATCCAAATTGTCAATGTTTCAGTTCACAGCTGTGAACTGAAACGTTGACAATTTGGATCAAATGCATGTATTTTTCACGTTGAAGTCCTTGAGTGCTAGCTTTCTTCTTGGAGGTTATATTTATGAGCAGCTGAGCACCAGGCCAAAACTCAAAGGAGAGCTGGAGTGCAAAACTCCCATCGAATTGTGTATATATATATTTGTATATATATATATATATATTTTTTTTTTTTTTTTAAACATCATAATACTATTTAGTTAACAGATTTTATGTTTAAATAATTGAACAGTCTGTTATTTTATCATAGAACAGTATAGCTGTCATTGATCAATTTCAGAGTACATTGCCGATTAGGGACTTTATATATTAAAGTAAAAAAATGTATGGGGTTCTCTTAAATAAGCGGCATGTTGTTAAATAATAGTTTAGCGAGTCATAGATGAAGGAGGTATGAAGGTGACAGTTTCTCTCCTAGAACATCTCGGAGCGTAGAGGTTGATGAAATATAAATCTAGATCTATTGAGTATTAAGATCTGTAAGAGCTGTATTAATAAATACATAATTATTAAATGTGTTAAATGTAGGAGGTGGTTCTGCACCAATTATTCTTATAACGGATTGATGTGTTTAAAATAAAATTGGATAAGCTGGAAAAATATATTATCTTCCAACATTCACATTAATTTAGTTAGGGTATGTTTTACTTGCCTAATTAGAAATGCGGATTGCCTACCAAACTGCTCACCTTCACATTGGATTTCAGGAAAGTTAAAAGATACTATTTAATATCCAGTGGATATTAATATCAACCTCAAAACTCAAACTTAATCCATTCCAGAACGGTGTTCGAGTTCAGATTTGTTCAAGAACCGAATCAACATTTCCCATGAGAATTAATGTAAATTTGATTAATTTGTTCCAGACCCCCAAAATTATAGAATTTTAACACAAATTTTACAGTTTAATAATACCTTACATGCATAAAATCATAAAGAAAAAAATTAATAAACACAATGTACTGTACATGAAATGAAAATGTAACTTCACTTTACCTGTAATCATGAGAGTTGATGGCGTAAGTGGAAAGGAGAAAAAATATTATTGTTTGGATGGGGATAGGTAACTGTTCTTCTGGCATTTAAAATGTGACTAAAGTATGACATATGACATGTTATAATTTAACATCTTAGTGGCATGATTTGTTCGTGTACTAAGGATCGTTCATGTACCAAGACATTTTTTTCTCAAAATGTTTGTTCCAATACAGAATTGTTCGGGTGAGGGACCCGAGTTCTGAGGTCCCACTGTATTTAACTTCTAAGACAAAAGTCCCATCTCCTCTTACCTGTAGATCAATACATTTGTTGTTGACATTATACAAAATGCTGAGGTTTAAATTGGCTAAAATTACTAATTTCACAATCAAAATTCTACTGCAATTGTTAAATTCATCTAATCCATAATTTCAAAATCTGTAGTATAAATAGAACTTGAAATCTTGATGCAATAGATTGAAAACTGCCATAAAAGTGGTGTATTTGTGTATAAAATATACAGAAATCAATTGGTTTTATTGGTGCATAGGGAAAAGTCATAATTTTCAAGAAAGGACTTGTCCCAATGCACCAATAAAAGCAATCGATTTCTATATATTTTATACACAAAAATGCCACTTTTATGGCAGTTTTCAATCTATTGCATCAAGATTTCAAGTTCTATTTCAAGTTTATTTACATAAATGCCAGATGTGCCATGTTTCTCAAAAAATATTTAGAGTTTTGTTTATGAAAAATTAGACATTTATAGTTATGATATATCGACTGTCAATATATGTGATGACAGTAACTCTGCACGTTAAAATTTTAAATTTGAGAAATGTGTTTTGAATTTCAATATATCATACAAATTCATCCCCTAATTTTACAGTGGTTCTCAAACGAGTCCTCAAGACATCCCAACCAGTCCAGGATTTAGGGCTTACCCAGTTGTGTCTAAGGTGGTTTTGGTTTTCTACAAACACCTTAGACACAATTATGTAATCACTAAATCCTAGACTGGTTCGGGTGCCGTGAGGACTGGATTGGGAAACCACTGAACTAGCCTGGGAATTTAAAGTGAACTTTAAATTTTACTCCAAAATATCTGAATTTGAAAAAGTCTCCACGTCAATTGCATTCCACACCTTAGTAAATACCCCTATGTGTATCAACAGGTTTATACCAATAAGCAATATACACACATATCACATACATAAATAAATAACTATTTAGTATTGCATATTTATACAAAATCAGATGTACAAAATCAAATACAAAAGCATAATTTGTATCCTTTATTTAAGAGCCTTTATTATTGAAAAAAAAACTCTTGTACTTTAAAAAAATTATATTTTATCCTTCAAAATGAAAGAATTTTTTTTTAGAAATAATGCTATTTTTAAAATATGTTTCAGTGTTTGCAGTTTTGGGGAATTGTTCTTTTTTAATTTATCCAAAAGCACTAACTTGTAGGGGAAAAGCCAGATACATAGTACTGTTAAATGTTTTACTGTAAACTTAAGGTTAGGTTTTATTTGCATTAATAATACATACCTCCCAATACTCTCCTCCTATAAAGAGGGATGGGACGGGTGGGACAAAAGGGGAGTTCCAGAAAGGGGGTGAAGTCTTCAAAAAATAAAATCCATGCAAGATCAGAAATTCACAATCTTAACATAACACCTTAACATAATACTATATCATTCTTAAACATTGGGGCTGTGACCTCTGACAAATATATTACACTAAAAGCAAAAGATAGGACCTCCAACTCATTGATACTATAACGTTATCTAACAATCAAAATTCTTATAATCCAATTTATGATAGAAGCTATTGTAAAAAATTAAAAAGACTTAAAATATGGTTTCATTTTCCTCTCCCATTGGTGCAGTTAAATTTAATTATCTTTGGAGCGTATGCATGAAACAGTAAATTAAAATTAGTTTAGAACTTCCAGACAAAAATAACCAACTTGGATCTGTTTTGACTTACATTTTGGTTGCTTAAGTTCGCTTTCTCTAAGCCAACTGCATTAAGGTTTTAGACATGTTATTCTTGTCTTTATACCACTAATACATGTTAGCTAATTCATGTTTATTGATCTCCTAATGTGAATAGGTAGATGCAGAATATAAGATTTGAAACCAGAACATTTGTTGTGATGATGCCCAAACTATGGCACGTTGTAAAGAGTTTTCATGAAGATATGACGTAGCACTGTACATTATACTCTATGGATCTTATTATTTTTATTGGTTATAACAGGACTATTTTGTAATTCAAGGGAAGTCAATTAATTATCAGACATGGTAATGTAGCATTGATTCTCAGGGGTTTCACTGCATCGGTGCACAATTTCCATGCATATGTGTGTAATTATTTGAATTTTATTGATTAAATATTTGAATATGTTGATACTCTTCATTGTTGGCCTTTGTATTTGTCCTGGAAAATCAACTTTAATGATTTTAGCTTTGAACACATTCCTGTACATATAAGGCCCAAAGCTAAACAATGCATTATTATTGGTTTGTTGTATACACAATGGTTTCGTCCTTCTTTTCTTTGGACAACACCAGTGCTCATGGGTATAATTAGAAAATAATGAGATTTAGAGCAATTCATTTTGATGAATCAGCCACCTCCTCTATTTATCCCTCCATGGTAAAATGAGATATTTAAATTGTGTTATATAGATGTTAACCTTGGCGCCCCAGGTGTTATATTTGCCAGCCTGATGCAGACCTATTTAGCTATCAGCACAATGACAGCATGGGAAGAACAAAAGTCATAATCTGGTATCCACTTTTTACTGGAGATATCTGTAAATATAACTTGTCAATGTATTTCTACATTCATTATATAAAATGTATTTGCTGTATTGTAAATAGATGTGTTGTACATACTGTAAACTGTTGTTAACTTGGTGCAATGATGATTTACCATTACGAACGGACTGCATGTTGAGTCAACCACTGCATTACCAAATGGAATAAGCTTGTCCACTATCCTCAGATATTTGTAATGCACACAATCTTTTATCTTTAATAAAATGTCAATATGATGACTCTTGGTGTAAATAATAACTGATTTCTATGATAAACTCAACAGTGATTTCATTTTGTCACCTGCAAGATTCAGAGCAGGTTGAATAAAAAGCCTTCATTGTACTTTTGTCTAAGTTACTTGGAAATATTTTTACCCCTTTAAGTTTTGGGCTTGACAAAGAACAAAAGGGATTTAAACATTGCTATGATCTCCTTTATGGAGCTTGAAATAATTAGAAAAGATCAGGATTTTTAAAAATAAATAAAGATGAGGAAAAATCAGGTAAATGGAGGTAGTGTATTCTATAAGAATTTCATAGCCCCAAGCGAAGTCCTGCATACTAAGGTTGGAGATGTGGTTTTCAATAGAGGACAGGTAGAAGTGATTGACAAAGTGCAATGAGGAATGGGCTACAGTGTTACAGAAAGTAGAGCATCAGTGCATAGCATGAACTAGTGCTATGATAACAGCTTGATGATGGAAATGTCAAGATTTGGCCATTGGCACAATGTGCGGGTGAAAGAAACCACAATTATGCCAAGTTAACAAAATTGTGATTGATGGAAGTACATTTGACATAACAGGGAGCAGGAGATGAAAACGTAAAGAAAAAAAAGAGACGCTTGGTTTTTGAGAGTCTGAGTTTCAAGAAAAACGTGACAATACCAAAAGAGAGAAAATGGGGAATATAGCATGATGCAATGGAAATCAATATTACCAAGAGAAGCACTAGAAAGTGGAAACAGGAGTGAACAGGGACTAATATAAAATTCCAAATCAATAGCAGAAAACCATAAGGAAGAGATGCCAAAGTCGTGAAAGTGGTCCCCAATGTCAAAAGTGACAGAAAAGTCCAAATGCAGTGAAATTATTAATAGTGGAACCCTATAGATTCAGCAAAGGAACACAATAGGGTCAGGAAAACAAACATGTATTCCTGACCTGTAGTGTTAAAACAACCATTTAGATAGTTTGCCCCTCCCCCCTTAGAAGAGGATAAAACTTGAAATCCACCCATAAGAGTGCTCTGTGTCATTTTACGCAGCGTGGGAAAGTTCTTTGGAATTTTCCCACGCTGTGTAATTTGACTCATAACACTCTGATTGGTGGATTGTAATCAGGCTGCTTACTGTTTAATAGACATGATTTAATTTAATAATACTAAGTAACCAGCTTATATAGAGGCTGGGTCACATGCTGCACTGGCCAATCACAGCCATGCCATTAATAGGCATGGCTGTGATGGCTTCTAAGGGCACACGAGTCAAACGCTTATTGATTGGCTGCCCTGCAGCCTTTCAAAAAGTGCCATTAAATCGCCGAACACCGAACTCCAACCCAAACACACACTGATATGTCCGTGTTTGGATCCGGGGTCAAAAAATCGTAATGTTCGGTACGAACCCAAACTTTACAGTTCGGGTTCGCTCAACTCTACTTATAAAAACTCCTGGGTTGCTTTCACAGTATGTTTTGGTTCATTGTTCATCTGTAAAGTAAAGCACCATCCAATAAACTTTGCTGATTTTGGCAGAATTTAGCAGACAATATATCCCTATATACTTCAAAATTCAACTTGCTGCTTTGGGCTTCTGTCACATCATCAATAAACACTAGTGACCCAGTGCCATTGGAAGCTATGCATGCCTTCACACTGCCTGAACTGTGTTTTACAGATGATGTGGTATGCTTCGGATCATGAACTGGTCCAAGCCTCCTCCATACTTCCCCCCCCCCCATCATTATTGTACAGGGTGATCTGACCTTTCTATTCTCGAAGCTTATAATTGGTTTGCACCTTGTTGTGAACCCTCTGCATTTGCTCTTGTGAAGTCTTCTCTTATGGTGGTCTTGGATAATATAGATAGGTAACTGTAAGATGGATAAGCACCAATAGCTGGTAGAATAACCCTCTAAAGTTAAAGTTCAAGACCCAAAAAATGCCACCATAACCACCATATCACTGTCTGGAGTAACCACCACCTAGGGTTAATTTTGTCAAAATTCTGTGTGCCTATTGAAATCAACCAATAGTATAGACAGGACTCAGTGGAAATGGGAATATAGGATGTCTAATGGCGCAGAAACAATGTATTCAATTTCTCCTTGATATAAGTGTATCAGCTAGTCAGGTCCTTACCCACCATAATAAAGGTAGGAAGAATGCAAAACTGCTGAGAAATTAATCTAGTAAAGGTTCCATAACTGATGTAGTGTGAAACCAGTACACATTAAAAGTACAACATGCTAAAAAAATAATAAGATATGAATAAATAAAAGTGAGATCTTGATCAAATTTTTTATATCTCACTAGGGGTTAAAAGTCCTTAAGTCCTATTATATAGTGTAGCAGATAGTATATTAATTTAAAAAATAATTTATTATCACAATAAAACTGTCAATACAACACACATTTATAAAAAAGACTCTAATAAAAATATAAGATATAGTCCCAATATTAGAGAGAGCACCCTACAAGGGAGATCACAATATAATCACTACCCCCAGCATTTCAACAATAGAGAGAGCATCCATCCTTGGAACTATCATACAAGAAGTAAAAGACGGAGGAATGGGACTCCACAGAATGATAAGAAGTTCTCCGGAGATAGGAGAGAAGTCCATTTTAAATCGCCTAGGACTAAACCACATATAGAACCGACGACTACCCCATCTATCAAGAGTGATTTTATAGACAGTTTTTTAGAGAAAAGAGAAGAAACCAGGATGGCACTCAAGAAATCATGGAGAGAAAGGAGGGATCCACCATGGTCTCCAATTCAAAGGAAAAGACAGAGAAGAGAAGAAGACAGAGAAGGTTTAAATTAAGTATAGTGGATTCGGGAGACAATAATGATGACAGGAGCGTGTTTAATATATCAAGCTATACCCTTAATGAACATGAGATGGCGATACTCAAAAAGGGCTTGAAATTTGCTCCAAGTACTAGCAATTCACAATTTAACACTTTCATTGACCTCCACAAATTCATCGGAAAACTCACGGTCAAGAAGAATTTTTTTGAAAATAAATATACCAAATGTGCTGAAGAGGAGGGGTATACCCATACAGATCTTCATCCTCAGTCTACCTTTTATCCCCAACAAGTTAAGAGTGACACTATCAGAGTCTTCGAAAGACTAGTTGAAAAGGATTTGAGGAAACTGAATAAAAGAAAAAAGAGCAAAGACAACCTAACCCCTAAAGAAAGGCAGGTATTAAAATCCCTCATGAGTAATCCAAATAAAATTATAAGATCTGCAGATAAAGGGGGTGGTCATAATGGATATTATGGATTATGAGAAGGAAACCGTGAGGCCGCTCAGTGATTCAAACACATATCTACCTCTTACAGACAACCCCCACAAAGCATTTATGGAAGAATTCTTGGAATTAATAAATGAGGCAAAGATAACAAGAAAAGACTGGACTGTCCAGTGACCTCAATAGTAGTTAAAATGTAACTTTTAATTTATCAAAAATTAAAAAGGGCTAGAGAAATACCTAGCTCTAAAAAGTATATAACACTACATTAACCAAAACAGAGAGGAAAGGGGAGACATATAGGGTACAGAGAGAATATATACATATAAATTAATACAAGACTAGTATAGTCTCAGCTACACTGATAGATGGAAACAGAGAGGCTTAACTCTTTTTATCCTGCTGCAATGTATGCTCTTGCTGCTAAAATAGAAAATGAAACATAGTAACTGTTTCACTGGCGATTTGCCCCACCCACCACTCCTCCTTTTATTATCATTACATAAGGTAGGCCCTCTTTTATTTCAGGCCTACCGCATCGTCAGTTCCGGCACACCACAACGGACTTTTCCCCTCCCCCTGTTTGTTTTATGTTACTAACGCTACGGCTTTATGCCCTGAACACAAATATATATATATATATATATATATATATATAAATATATACACACATCTATTGTTGTATGTTAATGATTCGCTATTATTTTTTCTACTTATGTTGTAGTATTTATTTATTATTTGTATATTTATTATTTTTCTTTATTTTATTTTTTAATTTTTTATATTCAATTTTTTTTTTATTTTTTTATTTACATATTTTCATATTTTTTTATTTTTTATTTTATTTTTGTACTTTATTTTTTATTTTTTCATGTCTAGTCTGTTTTATTTTTCTATTATTAATTTGTGTTTTTTTCACTTATTATTTTTTATTATTTGTATTTCTTATATTTGAGCATTTTAGTTTGATTTTTGTATTCATTTTTTCTATTTTTCTCTCCTTATATCATTGCTCATTCCTTTCTATATACTCATCCAACTTTCCATTTTCTTTATTTCATTCTTCGATTTCATTTTTTGTTTCATCTTTTATTTCCCGGCTTTTGCGCCAGACCCCTAGTATTGGCATTTATACATGCCTGTGACCCTTGGATTACCGAATGTGTTAAGTGCTTGTTAATTCTAAGGGCTTCTTCACATAATTCTGCCACGGACGCATGCGCACTACTGTGCGCCAGCCGTTTTTCACACATGCGCTGTGTGCACTGTTGAGCGGTGTACACATGCGCGGTCTGATAGATTTTCACTCTTCACACATGCGCTCTGATTTCGAGTGCAGTTATATATTTTTTTCGGCCATTAAAGGCTTCCGTATAATAGCTTGGGTGTTGTAATTACGCATGTAACGTGCGATAAGCGGTTCAATTTTCTCTTTTCCGATCATTCTTTCAGTTAAATCTCTTTTATATGCCTTGTACTTGCTAATTTTTTTCCCATGTTTTTTAAGGTACTTATGCATAGATTTAATGAGTGTATTAATCAAATTAACTGAGCATCTGTTTCTTATTATTTTTTATGTTAATGAATTTTGTAATTTCACAATAATTATTATGTGTGTATAAAAATGCTTTCTTGTCACTGTGGTGTTAGCTTGATAAAGACCTGGTTGCAGGTCGAAACGTTGCTGATCCAATAAAACTGCCTTGAAGATATCACTGTGAGTGCCTGATATTTTTTTCATTTGTATAGTCCATATTCAATGTCCTCTATGATGTAGTTCATGGTTACTTCATCCCAACTGCATTCCGCCCAAGTGTCCTTATTTTGTTTTCCCATATTTACAAGTGAAATTTACTTTGCAAGACACATCACAAGCTTTAGTAAGACCTAGCTTGATGAGATTTCAGAAAATGTGCCTGAACGAAAGCAGACAAAGCAAGACTTTATACTCTATTTACAAGCTTCTAATAGGGTCAGATGGACCTTAACGAGTCACTCACCAGTGCAGCAAAAGGCTGCACTGGTGAGTGCTCCTCTCTGCATGCTCCTCTCACATTGAACGCGTAAAACTTAATCGAAACTAGCACGATGAAACAGGTACAATGTTTCATGTGTGGTGGAAATGACATATTATTGAAAAATATTGGGAAGAGGTGCAATCAATAGAAAATATGACATTTTGCCTTGATCTGGAGCTGAAACCGGAGAAGTGTCTTTTGTTTATAGGCTTGGCTATGGTTCCAAAACTAGATTGCTGTGATGGTAGTCACTATCACTGGGGATGGAAGACAGACACTACGTGTGGGTCCCCAGATTCCTCTTGTGTTTTAGCATCCTGTACCCAGTATTGGCGCAAGGTATGTTGAATGTATTAATTGTCTGTGCCTCTCCCCCTCCCCTTTTTCCTGTCCTATTGTTTCCCCAGCAAGGCGTTGTCCCAGGGTCACTGACAGACCAGTTTAAACTACCTGCCCTGTCCCTCCTCAATAACACATAAGCCTTTGCTATTGTCTAGCCACACCCTTCCTTGCACTATAGTGCTCTATGCACCATATTGTATGTAAATGAAGCTTTTGGGGGCATAACTATGTGTGTTATGTCTATTAAAGCTTAGTTGCTGTTTTAACCTTCACCAAGTGCTGTCTGGTGTTTGGGGAAAGCGATATAATCTGCTAATGAAAAGGGTAGCCTGGTACACAGTAGCCTGGTCCAGGATGGAAAAGGCCCTCAGTGACTGGGTCTAAAGTGCTCCAGGGTCCCTGATGGCTACGAGGAAGCAGATTCGGCAGAGATACCCAGCCGGGGTACAGGCAACTCTGCTACAATTGCAAACTGCTATTTCACATACTAATAGTAGCTAACACACTGATAGCTTGAGCATGGAAAAACAAGACAGCCCCGTCTATGAATACAGACATGGAATTATCATTACTATTTTAACCATGCTCATGATTTCTGTTCATTTTACGCATTGTACATGAACATAGGTTTAAATAACTTAAGAATAGCTTTTTGTATATATGAACAAAAGCAAGCACTTTTTCTAATCTTACATTGCAATTTAGTTCTCATATATTTAAAGTAAGAGAATTAAATGGTTAAACTATTTATTTTGATATTACATATTAATAAGAATTGTAGTGATTAAAATTGATATGCCACCAAGGTTTTAGGGTGATTTAAGTTGATATCAAACTGCGTTAATGCAACAGATATTTTTTCATATCTGATGCATTTAAATCTTCCTACTTTGGAATCAGTATTTATGGATTTATGATTTATGGAATCAGCATTATATTAATGGGTTGCTACATCAGCAACATTTTAAATCAGCATGGTCAGATTAATTTCCCATTATTCAAAGTTGACTGCTGCCTAAACACACCTGTCCATTAAGGCCACCTGTTTTCAGCATTTATAATGTTTATTTTTGGAGCTTAGGTGCACGGCCGGCACTATCATAAGGCAGCACAGGTGGCCGCCATAGGGCGTGCAGGCCCTGGGGCACAAATGTCTGAGTGACCAGCAGAAGGGAAACACCCAGTGTTCCTCTCCTACCCGTTATTTCTTGTAATACGGCCACCCAGCACATGCGCAAGGGGGCCAGGGTAGGAGCTCCGCTTTATATATCCTCTCTTCGTGTATAGCTTCATTGTCCATCTGGATCTGAATGTGGAGGGGGGAGGCAGCGCACAATGCTCCTCTACTGCCCGTTATTTCTGTCAACGCGACCGAGCGCCAGTAGCTTGGCTGCCCAGCACTAGACATGTGCACCAGTGAAATTTCCGTTTCGTACGAATGATTCGCACTAAATAAAAATTTCATCAATTCCAAATTTCGTCCATAAACCATTTGTTATTTTTACCAAAATTAGTTCAAAAATAATTTGTTTTCGTCAATTAGGACAAAAATATCACTGCGCATGCCCAATAAAAAAAAACAAAAAAAACAAGGAGGGAGCCGACAGCGCTACCAACTCCTTCCTTGTAATAAACCATTCCTACCCTCCCTCCTGCATTAAAACCTATGACACCCTCCCCCCTGCATTAAAACCTATGGGGGTCACTATGACCCCTTTAATAATAAAAGGGAGGTTAAATGCTGACTCTTTTTTTTTTTGCGCATGCAATTATTGTCTCTGTGCTGTGAGGGTTAATTCCCCTGCAGCATGGAGTCTATTAAAGTAATGAAATGAAATGAAAAAGTAATGCATTCGGAATTTGCCTTTTAGTTTTGTTTATATTTCGTATGTGGTGCTTTCGTTTTTGTTTTAATAAACGAATAAAAAAAAAAACCTGAAAAAAATATTTTCGGCTTAAGTCGTATTTATACAAAAATGAATGAACATGTCTACCCAGAACATGCGCAGGCGGGCCAGCATGAGAGCTACGCTCTATATCCTCTCTTCCTGTATAGCTTCCTTGCCTGGGTCGGAATGTGACATCACATTCTGGCTCCCAGAACCTCTACAGGGTGCAAGAGGCTTCAATAAATGCTGATATACAGCGGAGCTTCCTCAGAGGAGCGCAGTGCCAGCCCTTTGGACCCCAGGATCCACTCCAGTTCTCCAGAAAAGAGAATCTATGTTGCACCCCTCCCTGTCACAGGTGCCCTATTTAGCCTTGTACTGCAGAGAGCCCCAGATGGAATTTTTGTTCCCAAAGTAAGTGGGTTAATCTCACAAAAACAGACATTAGGTTGTTAGAGTAGGACCTGCCAAAGATGGGGTACATGGACGATGTGGCAGGCTTATGCAACGTATGATCATATAATGTAACTAAACCCCCATTATTTTTGCCTAGATTAGATGTTTTTTTTAAAAAAACTAATACAATCTATCAACATTGAAGTTGCTGTTTAGTGGATAGGTGAGTGCGCTCGATCTTGTGTATTGTATAAATTGGCCCCTAACAGCACCCCATTTATGCATGTTCAGGTGAGTGCAGCCCCCTGGTTTCATATATATATATATATATATATATATATATATATACAGGTAAGTAGAATGGCTGCACTCACGGATTTCCATTTAAAAAAT